GCTGTTTCGACTAGATGAGATAAATTATAGTTTCTGTAAGAGTGCAAATTAGAATATAAGGGACATTACGGAACAGGCTATGATTCATAAACACCGTAGAATACAAAAAATGCTGCAAAACAAAACTGAAATAACACAATAGTCAATAGTCCAAAAACTTGAACAGAATAAAAATCTTGATGAACTATACATTTTGTGCTTTTAAACAACTTAAAGAAATTAGCCTCACATGAATGATAATATCTCACAAAGAATTATACATGAATTTTAGACAAATGTAAGAGCGCACTAGATACCAAACTCATATTTCGAAAAAAAAAATCATGATTACGCAGATTACTCATTCTATATGCTAATAAATGCTACTTAATTTATTCTTTTAATAAAGGTAATCTATTACCAATTAGCGAGTATTGACAAAAAATCTCCCTGATTCAATTATGCAATAGTGTAACGAAAAGTGACTGATAACCGAGACCAGCAAAAAATGAGATGAATAAGAATATACGCGAAAGAAATACACGGAAGCTTGCGCTTGAAAAAATTTCAGAAAATCGTGAAAAAGTTTTCCTGAGAATATAAGTAACGGTGGACTACAATGAATATTCATTAAAAAGCGACGGCAGTAGTTCAGTGATAAGTTTAGCAATTCCTGAGTAGCTTACGAGAAGCTTCCAGCAAACAGCAATAAACAAAACTAAGAGGTATAATGATGAAATAAAATTTAAAAAGAGGTGGAAAAAATCTAGTGGGGCATTGTGAACTAAAGCACTATCGAATCTGAACACTAAAATTAATTAAATGCAAGTACAATCATTAAAAAATTAACTCTGCAAGTTAGATTCACATATTATTGTCACAAAATTCAAGAAAAATTTGTCTTTCTTGATTTTGTTTTTAGTAACGATAGTTTCGGAATTAAAAGTCAGTAAAAATGATAAATATCATTCCTGTATTTAAAACACAGCTTACTTATGTCAGAAAACAAAACAGTAAGCCCCACGTGAAACTTATTACAAGGCACCAAAAATCAATAAAAACAGGAATGTACGTGTGTTTTTTCTAAGAGCAAGAAACACAATGCTTAAAATTATATCTAAAAACTGGAAACTATTGTAGAATTTGGCAATATCTGCATACATGTTAAACTTTAACGGAGTTTGAAATTAACATACATCCAGAAAAAAAGTATGTTAAAAGAAAAGCCAGTTTACTGGGTTTTAACAAAGTAGAAAAAACACCATACTGCCATTAATAACGTCAATGCATCAAAAGTGTTGTTCTCCACCAAAGACATCGGCAAGAGAAACGGTTACGAGGAAAAAAAACATCACTATTTCTGCTGTACATTTACCAATACAATTTCGAAATCGTTCGTAGAAACACTCCAATTTATGAAATTCTAGCCACAAAGGGCTTATAGCGTATGGTTGATTGCGCCTCAAGAACCTGAACTAGTTTGATAAGAATAAAATGAATTTTTATGAACATCGCTGGCCCATAAAACTGAAATATACAGAAATAATGACATACCTCGCTTCTATAATGAATATTCTCAGCCATCCGGTCACGAATTCGCGTAAGAAGCCTTCCAAGCAAATTCAGTCCTCTCCACCTTTGAGGATCCCAAGCATCCGGTTCGTTCATTGCTAACCCAATACCCCACCGATTATCACGTGGATTGCATTCGACCAATACTGTGTACATGGTGGAAAACAATGCTTGCCGCAAGTCTTTGTTTTGTTCGTACTTAAATATTTTTCGTTACAAAACACCTACATTAACATAAGTTTTCATAAAGTGATAAAACCATATAAACCTTTCTCTGATTAGCAATTGCCATAACTAATGTTGAAAATCGATCCCAAATAGGCTGACTGAAATTTCTGACTTTAGCACCCAGCATTTTCATTTGTTTTGGATCACGAGTTGCCATTATTGCCATTGCAGTTGCTTCGTCATCAAACAATTCTTCAATTCCATTTGAAACAATGTATTTAGAAGATGATTTACAGAGTCACGAAACTGAATATTTCAACCACATAGTTTTGGTCAGAAAAACTGGAAGTAGCATAATGATTCAAAAATAAAGCTTAACTAGACTTCAATCAGAATTTGTTTTTTATCAATGAAAATGTTTTGAATAACTACGTATCGGCATTTCCGTAGTAATTAACAACTAACTAAATGCACGATAACCCATGAACGAAAGTTATTTTATATTCTAAGCATAAATTTCATAAGGTTCGTCTCTTTTAAAAAAAACTCTTAATAAATACCAAAAAACCTACTAGCTTTCCAATACATATAGTACTGTTCAGTGCATATGAATTTCATCCCATCAATGCACAAATTCTCACATATGTAATGATTACTGAAGACATATTTGTCGGTGAAAAATAGTGTCAGTGGTTCATTACGAGGTGACAACCGTACAGGAGCTACCAAAGGCTGCATGTAGAACAAATGATTCAAAGTACAACAAAAAATATAACTATACTAAAATGTTATTTGAATATTGATAATGTTACATTACACTCGTCTATAAATTTTTAGGTTATGAATGAATAACATCTAGATAACTTATATTTCAGCAAGATTCACACCGAATTCTAAGCAGAAAAAACAATTAATATAAAACGTAGAATGCATATGGCTTTTGAGAATCTAAAATTCTAAATGAGGTCCTAAAAATAATAGTTGAAAGAAAGATTTATCCGATTTCACAATAGTTAACTTCTAACTGAGATGAAAATAATAAAAAATACTAACCATTTTTGGGCGACTAACAGGATAATCAATTAGAAACTTTGTTTTTGTTAATGAGCAATTGTTGCTGCCAGGATGGCTATGCACTGACCGCAGTTTCAATGAATGATGATATGTGTGTGAATCACGACTGTACTCCTTCGCTGCTTTGGGTAACGGATACTGACATGCTAACTGGACTAAATCTTGAGTAAGCGAATTCAGTTCACCTGCTACGTCAACTTCTGACAAAGTGCTAAAAACCTGCCAATTAATCCTGCACACGAGTAACGTTTGATCAAGACTGCAGAGTACAATAAAATTTTAAAATTATGGTACCGAAAAAATATTTTAAAAATCAAGAATCATAAAATTTATGATTAATGACTACGCTTCAATGCATATAGTTCCGAACTACACTTTCAGTATAATTGGTAAAATTACTTATATCTACGAAATAAATTAAAGACATAAATCACTGAATCTAATGAAAGAAATATCTGAAATACAGAAATAAAAACGTGGGCAGTTTTTACTTTGAATATTGGTTCAAAAAAGGTGCCGTTTGTGGAAAGGTAGAAAGGTCGTTGCCTGCGTTATTTAGGAATATTCCAACGCAATCAGCATTTCCATCTAATTTCTTATTTGGTAATGCATTACCGAGATTAGTATTATAAGACATGATCGGTATTTGTGTTGCCAACATAACACCATTGTCACCTTGAGAACCAACTGAATTTATGTTATTTGTAACAGATGAGCAAGTAGCTAGAAAAGAATCAAAAATGAATTGTAGGATGAACCAATAATGTCGCTTACTGTTCAATAACTGTTGTTTATTGTAATTAATACTATCTTTGAGAAATGCAGCATGGAGAACACCCAACAAATCAGTGGTTGCGTTTCTTGCTGTTGTACACGGATTGAAAAAATGATTCGATGGCAAATGACTGACTGGCAATACAGAAATATTTGATGGGTCACATAATAGATGTGAATCAGATGTATTACTGCAGCATCTCGATTGTGGTATTAAAATACCGCAGCTTCTCGACATTATATAATCTACTTAGCAATTAGAAAATAAGCATATCAAATCCTAAGAACTGATATTTTTGTTAGTTTACAAACCATTTTTTAAGGAATTTGGAAAGTACCACAACTAAACTCTAGTCTTCTCATTATGTTGTAAGATCAATAATATTTTAATCAGTTTCCATCGCAAAAACTAAGAATTTTGTAACTTCTATTAATAGCAAGAAAATATGGCATGTAGAAAGTACAGTACTAGGTGGAAAAACAAAAAAGCAATGCAAATTTAAGATGAAAGATTTTTTATTGAGAAAATATGCCATCAGAAGAGTTTAAAGTAAGAAGACAGCAGTAATGTTTGATCAAAAATTATCAAAATTATGTCACTGAAAATGTATTTGAAAAATCAAGAATTATACGTTTAGAACAAGTTTTTATCTAGTTCACTAAAATAGAACGCAACTATAAGAAACAAATAAATTAATTACAAACAATGAAAACTAGCTTGGTGGTAAAACTTCTGCTGCAGTAATAAAAAAAAGCAATTCATCGTACTCAAAATTTTTACATACTTATTTTTGTAGTAAGATCTTAAAACATTATTTACTAATCATTAAATTATAACTAAAATTATCGCTATCAAAACATTACAACCATTTAAGACAAAATAAAATTGCAAATTACCATGCTCTGTACTTATTCAATAAAAGAAATACTTATAACTATATTATAACTACTAATAAATTTCGGAGAAAACTTAACTCATTGTGATAAAAGTGACATTTATTTTCTCAGTATCAATTTTTTTCTTTTTTTAGCTAAGCAAGTTATTTTTGCTTCTGATAAACTACTCCTTTACTCAAACTCATCAAATAAAGTTGAGCAACTTCTTATACACACTAATACAATTATTGTGAATTGTAAAGCAGTGTTGAGCAATCATGACTCCGTACTCAACGCTTATGAACCAAGCATACAGTTGGAAATGAGTAGATATTAAAGACGATGTTAACATGAAAAATTGTCCGATATTTTGCTGCTTCTGTAACCTTCTGATTCTTCGCCACCAAAACAAATGATAAAGAATGAGGAGAGTCACAGCAGAGCAGAGCACAGCAGGCAACAAAAGTCACTACTACTACACAAAAAATATTGGAAAGTATTGAAAGCAGTGAAAAGTCTAAAAAAAGCCATAACCAACAGCTTCAAATGGCATCTCAATTCCATACCTTTGTAAATTTGCTCTTACTTTTCTGCTGTACTATTCTATCGATGAAAATCATCCGCATCGACTTTGCTCTCTTAGAACATTACAAGAGCATACTACAAACCATGGCATCAGTCAAATAGCATAATGCAATTATATTGATACAATAAAATAGTTAAATTTATTTATAGCAAAATAATAAGAGTAGAAAGCATTGAGCTGAAGAAAAACCAGAAACTGATAAAATTCATTATGTCATCAAAAACTAAACTGTAAATAAAAGGTTCAAAGACTTTTTGCGCATTTCGTTCTTATTTTGTCATCTTTATTGAGCACTGCTACAAACAGCAACTTAATACATAGATTAATTTAATTATATAACACGGAAGCTCGTTTAGATAAACTTTATTACGCTTATCGTAAAAAGTATAATTACTAATCGGTGGCTTATTTTCCAATCTCATACTACTACTCCTCATAAAAATTTACATAATCGACGTACAGGTCGAACGATCGTCAAAATATATCCTGCCATGTAAGGTAAACATCCAAATACACCAATTACGATTCACTGAAAAAATGAAACGAACTGCATTCCCTCGCTAAAGTCACAACACGTATGCTTATATAATGCTATTAAACTTTTCACTGCAAAACGGCAATATTACACATGTAAGAAGGATTACTATGAAAAGAAATACTGCTACTATACAAGATATTAATACATGTTATAAATTATTATACGTTATAAAACTATGACATATAATAATTTTGTTACTAATTACATGTCTAAATAACAAAATTATTATATCTCGAAACAACAGATTGGACAAGGACTGCTTCATTAAATTCAAGCACGATTCCTACAGGCAGTATTTAAAGCATAAGAGTTATAAATTGAATTTTCACCAGTCCTTTCGTCCCCAATAAAAAAAAAATACATAAAACAATTAACATATAATGCTAATGATAATTATGCATCCTTTGATAATTATGTTTGGGAAATCCAATTACTTCAATTTAAATTCTATATGAACAATTTCTATTATATAGCTGTAAGAAAGAAACCAATTTTTAAAAAACTTATTACTATAAAATTCATAATAATCAAAGATTGTGATATTTCATACTATGTAAAAAAAGAAACTGTATGAAATTTTCAGAATTTTTAATAACATTAAACAACTACCTTCCAGTAACATACTCATACCAAATATAATATAGTATGAAGACCGAAAATTAATTATATTATAAAAACCAAAAGTTTTCTAGTTTTAGTACGTGATATTACTTAGAAGGAAAAAATACTTTACATTTTACATAAAATTATTTTGAATAACTCTTAATCTTTATCAAAAAATAGTGCCCAAATATTATTCAGACTACTGCCTTTTATTTTATTAAAGATTTATTCTAAGTTTTTAAACTAGTTTTTCTATTAAAATATTCACTTTAATATTGAGTTAAAACATAGAGTTTTATTTAACAGAGATTAAAACGAACCACATTACAACCAAAACCAGTAATCTAATTTCAAAACTACTAAAATTATTCGGTAAGTTTAGTGGGTGCGATGCTGCTATTTTATAGAACCTCCATCAATTATATTATCTGAACTAATTTTGTACCCAAGAATTTGCTTTAAAAAATTCTATTTTTTTGCTACCTCATCACTTTAATTTTTTTGCAGATTTATTAATTCAAGTCATAAGCACTGAATCCAAAAAGTGTTTATGATCTGCATAGTACTAAAATTGAAAGATGCAAAAATCTTAAAGCAGAAAAGATAAAATTTTTCACACATAACTGAATTTATTTAGGAGTTTGCATGCATGTAATGGACAACAACCATGTCAAAAAGATTACTTAAAAAACGATAAGGTCTAATATGATAATTATCACTTGCTGAATGCGGACTTGCGTATGAATTAAGAGTACAAATCAACTGTCCACTCAAGCTGTTAGCCAGAAGAGAAGTAAAAAAGTTGAAGTACTGGTCAAATCCAGCTGTACGGTCAAATCGAATCACTTAAAAACAAGCGCGGTCGCACAAAGTTTATTTCAGCAAGAAATATGGAACAAATTAGTGTATACGACTGTAATACTAATCATATCACAGATAACATCACCTATCACAGCCTGTCACGTGATCATGTTTATTACAGCAGCACTTACTAACTGAAAATATCAAGTGCGTCTACGTAATCAGATCGATTTTCAAAGTAATAACGTAGACTTCTTCGTGACTTACGACATCTTTCGAAAGTAAAGAAAACATTACATCTAATCTCCATGGCCATTCACGACTCACACCTTCATTACTTAATCACATCAATACATTTAAGTGCTATGTTCAACCGTGAAATACCATAAGTGTTAATTAAATAGAAGTTGAATGCAAATGTTGATTTCTCTTATAGTATGATTTGCATTACTTTGCAAACTTATTATTGTTTATTAATCATTAAGGAAGAGGTCTCATGTAGTAAACTCAGGACTAACTAATTTAATACAACAAGTTGCTTGGCTGGAAATGAACTTTAATTTCAAATCGAAAATGCAATCGATAAAAAATGATTTGATAAAAATGTTATGGTATGATTTAGTGATTAAGTATAAAAATGTAATCAAATAAAAATTCTGTGACGAATTATTACATCTTTTTTTAAAAATTAAATTTATTGTTGCCTTCAATTTGAACTTGAAATTTTACAGTAAATAATTGATATATCTCAAAAAAAATGCTTTAAAATGTATTACAAATTGATAAAAGAAGAACATTTGGTCTAAAGGGGTACTAACAAAATGATAAAAAATACATTATGTGTATTGTTGCAAGAAAAGTAGTTTTTATTTGAAGTAAATTTATTATTTAACTTTTATATTTCAATACTTTTGTAAAATCTTATCGAACTTCCATAGTGCTATTACAATAATTATTAATTGTATTTAGCATTGTTAGCATAACTTTTTGATTCATTATTTAAGTATGTTATAAAGCAAATTGTAAGAAAAAGTATTTTTGTTTGATTACAAATGAATAAATAATCAAAAAGTATGAACATAGTTAATGTGATAAAATTATTATTGTACTTAAAAAATATTATTAACACAATATAATATTTTAACACAGTATACAGTACCCAAATATCGAATTATAAAGCAATTATTATCTTTAAATTAGCAATACTAATAGTAGTCTTCATTTTGTAATATTTTTTACTAATTGCACATTATTTTGTGAAAGTTTGAAAAAAATAAAATAAAAGAAAAGTAAAAAAAGTATAAGAGTGGAATGAGTTAGTGATTTAGACAAGCAAATTTTCTCTCAAATTCTGTATTTTTTTTTATTTTCATTTTTTATTTTTGCTATTGATAAAGTAAGTAAATTGATTGATTGATTAAAGAAGAAATAATTATTAAGCACAAAAAATAATGCTTTCAATGCTAGCAGTTAACGTCTGTTTTCTTAAGAAAAGCTTGAAGTTTAGCGTAATGATGACAAGTTGTTACGTTAACGCAGAGGTGGCAGCTATTTTTGTCATTTTTTTTTTCTTCAAACTTCAACACTTTCATTTACCTTTACGTAGTAGAGAAAGTTTGAGTATCTGAAGATAATTTTCTCAATAAGCAGACAATAAGAGAGAATACGAAAAATGTTAACATTTTTATCCAGTAAATTGCAGCAACGCATCAAGCGAAGAATTCAATTACTTCAGTGTATATCAGTGAGCTCCTGATCAACAACAACATGATGCAACAGCTCTCAAATGATTGAAAATCTTTCAGCTTAACCTTTCTTCTCCTTACTTTTTCAA